GTAGATACACTCCTTGGAGAGAACAAGTAGGAGAGAAAGAAGGGCTGCTCAGGCACAGGGAGACAGCTCAGGGGGTAGGAGTGCATGGAGGGATGGTCACAGGGAAGCAGTACCTATCAGGAGGAAGTGGGAGAGGAGATGTTGCATTGTGCTAAATTGTGGTGAATGTCATGAAACAAAGTGTATGTGATCTGCTGTATGGAAAGTGTATTTGCTCTGTAAATTTTCACCCAAATCACAATAAAAATAAAATTTAAAAAAAAAATGTCTCCATTTATCATGATGTTGCTTACTGACCCAGTTGTGAAAATTTTTGTTTTCTTTATGTTGAGGTGTAGGAAGACTCATTAACAAGCTCTGATATGCAGATGGTACAACCTTGTTTGCTGAAAGCAAAGAGACTTGAAGCACTTGCTGATAAAGATTAATCCTACTTCCATAGTGATACTGCCTCGGAAACCCAAGGAGGGGTCGCTATGAGTCGGGTTTGACTGGATGGCACATAACAACAACAACAACAAATGTTGAGGTGTAATCCATACTGAAGGCTGTATGTAGTCTTTGATCTTTATCAGCAAGTGCTTCAAGTCTCTTTGCTTTCAGCAAACAAGGTTGTACCATCTGCATATCAGAGCTTGTTAATGAGTCTTCCTCCAAGCCTAATGTTGTATTCTTCTTCAAACAGTCCAGCTCCTAGGATTTGCTCACCATACACATTGAGGAAGTACGGTGAAAGAATACAACCATTACACACTGTTTTCCTGATTTTAAACCATGCAGTATCCCCTTGTTCTGTTTGAATGACTGCCTCTTAGTCTATGTACAGGTTCTGCATGAGCACAGTGAAGTGCTCTAGAATCCCCATTGTTCACAATGTTAGACATAATTTGTTATGATCCACACAATCAAATGCCTTTGCATAGTCAATAAAGCACAGGTAAACATCCTTCTGGTATTCTTGGCTTTTAGCCAAAATCCAATTGCCATCAATAAAGATATCCCTCATTCTATGTCCTCTTCTGAATCTGGCATGAATTACTGGCTGTCCTCTGTCAATGTACATCATTTTTTTTCTATTTCTAGTATTTCCATTTTATTACTTTTACTTTTTTTTAATGCATTTTATTGAAATATAATTTATGTACAGTGAAAGACAAAGAACTAAAGTGACATGGGTCAATGCAATTTTTTTTTTAACATTCCTTCCCCTCCCCTTCCACCCAGTTAAACAACAAAGAAAGTTTTGCTCTATATATAAACCTTTCCTTGACCCTCCACAACAAATAACAAATACTATTATTTGTTCTTCTGTGATTGACTTACTTCACTCAGCATAATGTCCTCTAAGTTCATCCATGTTATGTGGGTTTTTTGCAGACTCTACATTAGTCTTTAGTGCTGTATAGCACTCCATTGTGTGTATATACCATAGTTTGGTCATTCACTCTTCCACTGATGGACACGTAGGTTATTTCCATTTTTTCGGTATTGTCAATAGTGCTGCAATGAACATATCTGTTCCTGTCCTGGCTTTCACCTCTCTAGGATATATACCTAGTAATGGGATTTCTGGGTCAAATGATATCTCCAATTCCAGCTTTCTAAGTAATCGTCATACTGCTTTCCACAGTGATTGTATCACTTCACAGTCCCCACCACCAGTGTATGAGAGTCCCAATCTCTCCCCATCCCCACCAGCATTGCTATTTTCTGTCTCATTGAACCTTGCCATCAGTGCTGGGGTGAGACGGAATCTCGTTGTTTTGATTTTCATCTGTCTAATGGCCAATGATCGTGAGCATCTCTTCATGTGTTTGCTGGCCACCTGAATAGCCTCCTTGGTGAAGTGTCTATTCATGTCTTCTGCTCATTTTTCAATTAGATTGTTAATCCCTTTGCTGTTGAGGCATTGGAGTTTTCTATAAATCTTAGAGATAAGTCCCTTGCCAGATATGTAATTATCAACAAGTATGAATTTGTTGCTAACATTTTTGTTATGAACTTTTTTGTGGTATTGATTTCTTTGTTCCATATAATTTTCTGTGCTGAGCTTGATTTGTTTATGAATCACATTTTCACTTCCTTCATTGTGCTGCAATCATTTTTGAATTATGTCAGCACAATTTTATTTGCTTGTGATATTAATGATAATGTTAGATAATTTCTGCATTCTGTTGGATCACCTTTCTTTTGAATGGGCACAACTATGGATCTCTTCCAGTTGGCTGGCCAGGTAGCTGTCTTCCAATTTCTTGGCATAGATGTTGCATTCATTTGTTGAAACATCTCAACTGGTATTCTGTCAATTTCTACAGACTGTTTTTTTGCCAATGCCTTCAGTGTAGCTTGGACTTCTTCCTTTAATACCATCAATTCTCGATCATATGGTGCTTCTTGAAATGGTTGCATGTTGACCAATTATTTTTGGTACAGTGTATTCCTTCCTTCTTCTTTTGATGCTTCCTGCATTGGTCAGTATTTTGCCCATGTTACTTGTTGTTAGGTGTCACTGAGTCATTTATGACTCATAGAAATCCTATGTACAACATCATGAAACACTACCTGATCCTGCGCCGTCCTCAGAATCATTGCTATGTTTGAGTGCACTGCTGCAACCACTGTTTGAATCCATCTCATTGATGGTTTTCCTCTTTTTTGCTAACCCTCTACTTTACCAAGCATGATATCCATCTCCAGGGACTGGTCCCTCCTGACAACACGACCAAAGTAAGAGAGGCAGAGTGGCACCATTACTGCTTCTAAGACAGATTTGTTTGCCCTTCTGGCAATCCATGGTATGTTCAATATTCTTCACCAATACCACCATTTTGCCCATAGTATCCTTCAATACTGCAACTCAAAGCTTGAATGTTTCTTCACTTCTTTCAGCGTGAGACATTCTGAGCGTCCTCTTCCCTTTTTGTTTTCAAGCTCTGTGTTTTGCACATTTCATTATAATACTTTATTTTGTCTTCTCAAGCTACCCTTTGAAGTCTTCTGTTCAGCTCTTAAGTACTTCTCCACAAATACATCATTACTCTCTAGGCATTCCTACCTGGACACACCATTTCATGTTTCTTTGGTTTTATACATTCTGTTCCTTCTAGATGGAATGCTTCCTCACTCCTCTAAATTCTTTTTCTGCCTGGTTTAACTTCTCCTAACTCTTTTAAGACCGAGTTCAAGTATCTCCTCAACTTTGAAACTTCCTCTGTCCTCCTGACCTTCTCCACCAAAACAGAAATGATTACTCCCTTTGCCATCAAGGTTCTTTTCATGTCTCTAATAATAACAATAAAAGGCATCACAAATCACCATGTGTCAGATACTTTGCAAGCATTTTACATTCTTCTCATAACTACCTCAAGAGGTTTTTTTTTTTTTTTCTTTTCTTTTTATTAAGAGGAATTTATTGTTATCCCTATTGTACCGATGAGTACAATGGAAGAACTTCCTGGGCAGCTTTTTCAAAATACAGATGACTAGGGTCATCAGAACTTAGGACCTATTCATTTTAAACATGATGCTGATATCACTAATACCGTACCATCACACTTAAGAGACAATGATGTAAGCAAATAATTTTGTGGATTTATTATTTATTTGTCAGATAATGAAGAATGCTGAATTGTCACAGACATGAGATCTAAGGAATCTAATTCACTTGAGAGAAGCCCTCAGTGAATTAGAGATCTGCCTGGCCTTAAACATACAGAAGCAATCCAATCTTCCAATCTAAAACACAACTTCTGACCCATAAAAAGTCGCCCAATTCCATAATACTTTCATTCTTTCCATATAAACAGCATGAAAAAAAATCTCCATTTTCTCAAAACATCCTGATGTTTTATTAAGATTATTCATATATTTGCAATGACAAAAAATTAGACATTATCTGCTGAATTTCAAAGCCCCTAACACAATAGAAAATTCAATTAAAATCACTTTTATGAATTCAGCATATTAATTTCACAAGTTATCCTTAGAAGAAAAGATTGCAAAAAATGTTCTACCTGGTTTTGAAGACCCAATGTCAGCCTGTCCTAATTGCTTTTTCCTTTTGGCTTCCTCCACTGGATTTTCAAACTGGGTCTTCTGGTTAAGATGACTAGGAAATGTGGAAAAAAAATGCATTTCAATTTACAATAAAAGTTACATATTTTTTAATTTTTTTAATAGATTATCATACTTTCAATCACCATAATTAAGGAACAAATATGTTAGGCTATGTAACACAGAGAAGCTTACATATCACAGCAGAAGAGCTTCTTGGTAACTACAGAAGGGCCCACAGATATGCCTAGAAGTCAAAGCTGTTAAAGCTTATGGGTATTTCATTTACTACAGCTACATAATAAACTTACCCAATACAGGCAGCCCCTACATTTTGAAAGTCTGCTTTTATGCCGCTTGGCTTTTACAAAAGTCCTACCTTAATAGGTAGGACTTTTGCCAACAGAAAGAAATCCTAAGACAATTTTCGCCGCTTAGGAAAAAGGCAAAATATGAAACTAGCACTCAGTGTTTGCTTTGAAATGAGCTGTTAAAGAGGCAGTACACACCCTGAGCAATGAGAATGGCGTTGCCAAGCTACTTCCCTGGGAACTACATTCAGTATCTCAGCATTAAGACACCATACCTTTGAACTGTGTCAGTGAACACTATATGTTAAGTGTTAATTTAGGTTTTATGTGTTATTTGGTATGATTTGGTAGGCTATATCAAGGAGCTCTGGTAGCATAGTGCCTAAGGCACTTGACTGCTAACCAGAAGGCTGGCAGTTCAAACCCACCAGCCACTCCTCGGAAGGAAGGTTGGGCAATCCTACTTCCATAGTGATACTGCCTCAGAAACCCAAGGAGGGGTTGCTATGAGTCGAGGCCAACTCGACGGCAAATAACAACAACAACATCATCTTGGATCTGGGAATGCTCAAAAAAGTTTCCCATATAAATTAAGAGTAACTATGATCATGGGGGACATCAAGGTCAACTGGCCTAACATACTATATACACAAAAACATTGTTCTGCATCCTACTTTGGTGAGTAGCGACTGGAGTCTTAAAAGGTTGTGAGAGGACATCTAAGATGAAACAATTGGTGTCTCCTCACCTGGAGCAAGGAAGAATGAAGAAAATCAAAGAGAAGTGGAAACAATTAGTCCAAGGGACTAGTGGACCATGAGAACCACAGCCTGTATGACCCTGAGACCAGAACTAGATGGTGTCCCGTTACCACTGTCAACAACTTGAAAAGGGATCGAAATAAGAGACCCTAGATAACTGAGAAATCTACTTCCATGGAGATACCGCGTTGGAAACCAAAGGAGGGATTGCTATGAGTCAGATCCAACTCAACGGCAGTAGAGTTTGTTGTTGTTGTTGTTAAATAGAGTGGGAGAAAAACGTGGAACAAAATTCAAAATCATAAAAAAGACCAGGTTTACTGGTCTTAAAGAGACTGGTGAAAACCCTAAGACTATGGCCCCTGATCACCTTTTGGCCTGAAAGTGAACTTACTCCTTGGCTTCAAACAACAGACAGCCCTACAAGGTAAACAATTACACCAAGTAGAAACACTCCTTAGAATAGTCAACCACAGGATATCACAAGAGCAACATTTGCACAGGGAGATAGCTCAGAGGGCAGGAATGCATAGGAAAGGACAGGGAAAAGGTAACTATAGGGAGGAAGTGGGAAGAGAGCTGTTACACTGTAGGGATTGCCATCAATATCACAAAACAAAATGTGTATGAATGGCTGAATGGAAAACCAACCAGCTCTATAAACTTTCACCCAGATCACAATAAAAAGTTATTTAACAATAAATTAATTAATGGTAACTGCTTTTTTGCTTTATGCTATTTTGGCTTCTAAAAGGTTCCATAGGAATGCTCTACTTTCTGATAACAGTATATCCACATGTACAGTCAATAACACTTTTCAAACTATATTAGAAACCCTCTTACATCTTATGTAGTAAGAATTGGTGATAACTGGTTAGCTCATTTAAAACAAAACAAAACAAAAAATGAAGTTAAAGGTGGGAGGTTTTTAATTTAAGTTTCCCCAAAAGGAAGCAAGACTGTAAAGACAATTTTGAAGAAATCTGAGTACAGAACCCTTCTAGAATTTCACTACTGCTATTCCAACTGACTCACCCACATCAGTTCAGTAGGAACTTTTTTAGTGACTTACTTTTATAAAATTGTATCACAGAACAACTCTTTCACATTCAGATTTCTCAGTAATTATGTGATAATTAAATGAATGACATAATTGCAAGATGAGTTCAACTAGTATTTATCATTTGGGAGCAATCAAAACTGACTCTGGGAGAGGCAGAAACATGTGGGGAAACCAGAGGGTAGCCAACTAGCCAATGATATTCAGCATACTATAGGCAACTGTGTTTTATAGATGGAAGGAAGCATTGGTTATTCTGGTAAATCAGTTAAGTGAAAGTTGGTTAAGAAAGCAATTATTGTTCAAAAGATGTTTAAGGCCACAGACAGGTCTAATGCAGAAGCAATGGGACTCGTATTCCAGCACTTCCATGGTACAAATAGACTTCAGCCAAATGATATGCATTTTCCAGTAAAATCTAGTTTAACGAGAAGTGATATTAGTGAATACCAGCAAATTAAACATTAAATCACAATAATGACTGTCCAGAATGACAGAATGACTGTTCTCACATAGGCTGAGGATTACCAAAATCTATGCATAAATAGTCATGCAACTCGGATACTTACTTTGTAGTTTGTGAACACTGATGATAGTAATGCAGGAGAGGGCAGTAGGGAAATAACACAAAACCTTCACAGCAAGGAATGATAGTTTCTCTATATTGTTGTTTAGGCTTCTAGCGCCTATCAACTAGGCAACAGATGTGGTTATTTAGTTTCAGAGCTATAAATATGGCAAATTCTATTTGACATTCTTTAGGTTCTGATTTCACTAAAACTCAAGTATGCTTTTGTTTCTTACTGTATAACTCTCTGAAAATGAAAACCTTCAGTGCTAAATCAGATACCACTTAAAAAAAATTATTAGATACTGGCATTTTGCATATTCCTAAAAAAAAAAAAAAAATAGAAAATGACACTCAGAAGAGAATAAACCTGTTTAGAAAAGAACCTTGACTCAATTTAATGTCATCAGCTAGAATGACTCACTTTGACACCCAGGCATTAGAACATAAAAACTAGTAATTTGTATTTATACCCCTTGTAATGCGTGGGAGAAGAGAGTAGAAATATGCAAATGAGTAATCCTTTTCCTGAAAATTATCTGACAGAAGAACACAAGGTTTTAGTGAAGTGAATAATTGAATCTTTTACCTTATAGTACCTAGGTTAAAATGTCACCAATAAAAACAAAAAACTTGTTGGTTACCAGAGGTGGGAAGGGAGGGGAGGAAACACTGCAAAAGTTAAAAATTTAAACAAATAAATAAAGCTCTATGTATAATAAAACAAATAAACAACAACAACAAAAAACTTTAGTTACTTATTCCCACAATATTATTACAGATGTAACATATTTTGTTTTAGATATACCTTAGCTATGGGAAATAAAAAAGGAGAATATTATAGATTATCAGAAATTTTAAAAAGGGTAGTGAAAAAGCATGACTTTTAGAAACTCATGAATAGGTAACATATAACTTGGAATAGAATCTGTATCAAAATTTTATGTATAATATCTGAATGCTTAAAATTATCTCAATAAACAATGTATTTTTTTCCCAAAGAATGTGAGATATTAAAGCAAATGTATATTTCAACTCTGCCACTTAAGTGCATTAAGGCATTTAACTCAACACAATCAGGACAACATTTCTAAATATATAAGCATTCTTATGAATAGACTGCCACTAAATTTTGGATATTTTATTTTAAAAAATAAATTAATCCATTTCAGAATCACATCCTCTAAAATAAAAAGAAAAACTGCCATTGCAGTTGTTTTTACTATTACAAAGACTTCTGCCAAGAGCAATCATTGTGCCATCTGGTTCGACAAACTAAGAGTGCCAAAGAGTAGCCATTCAAGTAACAGGTTTTTAATCTCCATCAGTAAATTCACTCAAGATTATTATGGTCGAGGTTCAAAACCTAACTAATCTGGGAATCAAGCCACATTACATAGCTCAGCTGACTCTGTACTAATGTGCATCCTGAGTGTAGCCTGCTCTTCTTAATTTAATAAATTACCCTCCTGTAAAATGAGCTCGTTCTGGGAACAATCTTACAAAATCATGTTGCTGCTGCTGTTGTTGCTTCTAATTTAGGCTATTTCGCATAGTTCCATGACAACTGGGGGCAGGTCACTTCAGGATTTGCCCTTAACTTGCTTCAATATTATATTCTTGCTTAATGGGAACCAGTGCATTTAGCTCAAGATTTTATAACAAGCAAATGACTTTCACCTCTTGACCATGCACTCAAATTCACTTAATGGATAATGAGACATGGGAATCTTTATTCAAGAATGTTCAGTAGTGTCAGTGACAAATAATAGTTGATTGACACTCAATTTAAATAGACTAAACTACTATGGGGAAGAAAAAAATCCCACAATCCACTAAACCTTTTCAGTTGGCCTTCAAATGTTCTGTGAAGTTACACAGCTAAGGGCCAAACTAATTGAGTTGTTTCCTTAAGGTACAAATGTCATTCCAAAATTCTCTTTAATCACAGTGACTCAAGTAACAACCTACACTTTTAGAATAAAAACTAGAGATACTTAGTTTAGGGATAATTACCAGGAAACAAACAGCATTGGTTTATATCAACAAGAGCTGAAAAATTAATAAGCGATTATAAAACTACAAGATTCTTGTGCTTTCTAGTTTTCCATGTAATAACATATTCTGCCTTCACTATCTAGTTTGGTTTTGGTTTTGGACCTAGGCAGTAAATTTAGATTCCTAGTTTCCAGGTAAATGGTAATGTTTTTGATACAGTTATTGCCTGAGACCCACAGCCAGAAAAACAAACTCTACCTCTATCATCCGAAAAGAAAGCAATCCCAATGGTCAAAACAATATAGCAGATAGATAGATGAGGAAAAGGGCAAGACAAATTAGATGTTGACATCAGCCTTACATTTAATCGTATACAAGGATGTGTTGCTTGTATATGTTCTGTGAAATAGGATGCTAAGTGATTTGGACATTGTGAGAACACCCTATCACAGATAATACATAATTTGTATATATTTGATACACATATATCAAAGTAACCCCCTTGCAAGCTGTTCTGTCTCTCCATTAGTGCCCAGAGCCTCAGACTTTGCAAACTTGCACCTGTGACTGGTGTGGGTGCTATTGGAGCAGCCCTCCAGGAGCCTGGTCAGAATTAGAAGCCCCAAGGGATGAAGTAGAAGAGCTATAGTCCAACATCTCCCCACAGGCATCAACCTATGGGGGTAGCTGGGCAGGGCACACACCAGTAACAGCCTGGCTGCATGGTTTGTGGGCCTGAAGTGCACCATGGCTTCAGGGGTGTACAGAGCTGGGAAAGCCGTGGAAGGCAAGCCACCACCACTGTTGCTGCTGTAGCCGCAGCACTGCAAACTCAACACCAACACTGCTTCCTGGTGTCCTTCCGAGAAAGCCCCTCCTTCCCACTCCATGGATGTATATGCATTGGATGTTGCCTCAACAGGCACTATGCAGTACAAACCTGTACTTCAAAACTTTGAATCATTATGGTACAATGCCCTTAAAGTCCTTTTATTGCTTTCAGAACCATATAGTTCCAATGTTGGAAGTGACCTTAATAGTTCATCTAGTCCAGTGATCTCATTTCATAGTTTTACATGTACTGTCTTCCTCTTTAAAGGCTGCAGTAGTAATGACAGCATCTCAGCTATAAATTATCAGGGAAACTTCCCTCTAGCACTTTATATTTACTTCAAAGCCAACTTCTAGGAAGCCCTGGGTCAGTGAAGTAAATGCTCACTGCCCCTGCCTTCTCTTTTCTCTAACTGAACAAAGTGAGAGCTAGATTGCAGAAGCATGAAATACTCTAACCAGTATTCCCTGAAGCTGTCCACCAAAAGGAAATATTGGAGAGAACAGAAACTGAGGTAACTTACTCAACATAATATGTCCCATACTGAGGGTCCTCTATTTTCTCCCAGCCATAAGGAAGTTCTGTAAATAAACAAAAGGAATGAATGAAATACCATATTCAAAACTGACAGAAAAGAATTAATCACTGGGCAAATTTAAGTGTTTTTGATTTCATTATACTAGTATTTGGGAGGCAAAAGACAAAGGCTCATTTTAAAAGAACAAACACAGTTTAAGTGTGAATGGCTTCTTCAATAGACAGTGAGTGTCTCAGCAAGTAATTAGGAGACCAGAACAAAAGATGACATTAAACTCAAAAGTCTTTATCTGAATCACAGGCTATAAAAAATTACTAATTATTTTTAAAATAGTATTTTTATTTAAAAAGCTTGATAAAGTTGAAATGAGACATACTTACCCTGCAGTCAAATACCAGAAGCAACAGCCTGTTAAAATTTTCACTATTATACATTGTTGTTGTTGTTGTTATGTGCCATCAATAGGACTTGTCAATTACTCCTATTACATTATGAACCACTTCTCCCCTATGGAAAGTTCAGCCTTGGGTCTATGACATTTTTTTTAATTGTTATTTGGGTCAAAGTTTAGAGAGCAAATTCATTTTCTATACAGCAGTTCATACACATTTTGTGTCATGAAATTGATTGCAATTCCCCACAATGTAACAGCTCTCTTCCCACTTCCTCCCCATAGTTACCTCTTCCCAGTGTCCTTCTCTCACTTGCACTTTCCACCCCCCGCTAGTCTCCCTGTGCAAATACTGACCTTCTGTTATCCCATGATTGATCGTTCCAAGGACTGTATCTACCTGATGTAAATGTTCACCCTATACATCTGTCTATTGTTTGGCTGGAAGCCACAGGAGTGTGTTCAGTTTCAGATCAGAAGGGTAGCTAGAGGCCATAGTCTCAGGGGTCTCTATCAGAACAGCAAACCTGGTCTCCCCTTTTTTTTTTTTTTAATGATTTTTAGTTTGTTCCACATTATTCTCCCGATTTTGAGTTTTGTTCCTGCACCGACCCCCCTCTGAGTGGTTGACAGTGGTAGCCAGGCACCATCTAGTTCTTCTCGTCTCATGGGTCAAATAGGCTGAAGATTGCACAGTCTACCAGTCCCTTGGACTAACTTTCCACTTATCTTTTGTTTTCTTCATTCCTTTTTTGCTCTAGATGAAGAAAGACCCATTGTTGCATCTAGATGGCTGCTTGCAAGCTTTTAAATTTGCAGTCGCTACTCACCAAAGTAGGCTGTAGAACAATGTTTTTGTGTGCCATGTTATGCCGACTGATGGGCTCATGACATTTTAACTGGGCAATCTAGATTTGCTTAAAACCTAGGAAAGCACCTCCTTTCCCTTGTACTACCACGATCTGCATGCCTGGAGGAAAAATCATTCAACTATCACAGTGCCTTGTGTAGATAATATTTATTTGTGGAAATTAACAAAGAAATGTTTTACATAGGGTTATTAAATATTGTTTAGTCCAAGTAACTTACCAAAAAAATATAATCAGAAAAATTGAAGGTAGATGAATTTGATAGTTAAAAAATCTAATTTTTCCAAAATGAGCTGATCTTGTCAAGAAAGAATCCTTACTTCTCTTCCCTTTTAACTTCATTCCTTGCAAAGTTAAGGTTTCAGAAGATCTATTTAATATATTAGTCAGACATGGATTAATTTGGCATGAATATTCTAGCAGGTGGTTCTATAGCTACCAATTATTATAAGAGACCAGCAAGAAAGAATTCTTTAAAAACCCATAATTGTACACTATGATGTCCCACAATTTTATTTTCAATATCTCTTACTGATTTTATGATATGCTGAAACATACATACATATGCACTCACAGACATACACATAAATGAAGTATGCTGCACAGAAAATAAGGCTTAGAAAATATCAGATGGCACTTTTAAGTTAGCCTCAGCTATCAACTTTGTGATGCATCAACTTGGTCAGTAAAAATCCCATTATAATGAACCTAACAAGCCATACAAACTGTTTTGCTCTAATAAAAATTGTTATTCCACATTCAGAATAAAAAAGAGAGAATAAATGTCCAGTCTCTTGATGAAAAACTCTAAATCACCCTCCCTGTTTTTCTGTAGCATAATTTTCTGCCTATATATGTTGATCAGTGGTTTCAAAGGTTGGTGAGTTGTCCTTTGAAGGACCTAGTTGGAATGTCTGAAGTGAAAAAGATAATAGCAGTTGAAGAGAAACTATGTGGAAACAGAACCAAACAATTAAGAAGAACTGAGATACACTTTGGTTCCTTATGTTCTTCTACAATGCAAACAACTAGCAATTAAACAGGTACACTATTTTATGATCAAGCAACTGTCACATGGGTAATACAAGTGTGTGTTGAATTTCATGTGTGAAAATGCACTATAATAATACTATCAAAGCATTATCATTATGGATCTTCCATAAAGGATATTTTTTTCTTTAATAGAAATTTTTTTGAAATAGCATAGAACTGAATGGTGCTGAATAAGATTGAGTTCTACAACTGAACCACAGCTGGATTTATACTTTGTCTTTAGAAATGTTTGGAGAATTGAAGCAACTATAGAAATAGTTAAAAATTCCATTCACTATCCAAAAAATTCACTAAAATGAATGACTTAATAAAGATAAAAGATCAACCTATTTCAGTGTTAACTAGGGCACTGATTCAGCATTTAGGCTAGCATTTAAAGCAAGCAGCAGTAACAGATAAAGTACAGGCAAAGAAACAAATATGGTAGTATCTTCTGGGTTGCTTTCAGTAATCACTTTAAACCCTTACACTGACATCATTAGTCAATTTATTGCAGGACAGACTAATGCAGATAAAGAGGATGGTAGTGCCTAAGGCTTTTAACTGCTAAGGAGAAGGCTGGTGATTCAAACCCACCAGCCACTCCTCGAAGGAAGGTTGGGCAGTCTACTTCTATAGTAATACTGCCTCAGAAACCCAAGGAGAGGTTGCTAGGAGTCATTTGGCATTTGACTCAACATCAGTGATTTTTTTGGTATTTAAAATGAAGGCAATAAAAACAAGGTTAAAACACCTAGCAATACTATATACCCTCCAGTGGACTGACAGATTCACTCATTTCCTTCCTTTTTCTTTCCTTCCTTCTCCTCTTCCCCTTTTCCTTCAAATTTACAATAAAAATTAAAAACATAACAGTTACTGACCTCAAAGTGTTCACAGTCTAGACAGGAAGACAGAAAAGATAACTGCTAGAATGAAGATGAACTTCAGTTTTAACGGGAGTGCAGAGGAATGGCACCAACAGGCTGATGACAGCAGCTGTCAGGAAAGCTTTTTAAGGTGCTGTTTGAGCTAAATCTTAAAAGGATGAGTTTAGATTGGGGAGAGAAGAGGTAGCTCATTCCAGACAGATGAAAAGGTATGTGCAAAGACACTGGGGCATTAAGAATGCCTAGCATTTTCAGAAATTATAAATAATTTGGTGTGGCTGGAAAGAAAGTTGTATGCAAAGAGAGAGGAGTCCTATAAGCAAACATCAAATTGCAAAATACCTGGAGTGCCTTATTTACGAGTTTGATCTTTATTTTTATGCTGTAGGGACTGATTTAGAAGTACTGTGACATGATTTGATTTGTATTTGAGAAAGATCATGAGCAGTAGTTAGAAGAGGATGAAATGGATGCAGTGATGTGAGAATAAAGAAGGACAAACAAGAAAATCATTTGGAAGCGTCCAAAAAAAACCAACTAAACTCACTGCCATCGAGTTGAATCTGACTCATAGTGACCCCTCCTTGGGTTTCTGAGGCGTATCACTACAGAAGTAGATTGCCCAATCTTTCTTCCCAGAAGTGGCTGGTGGGTTTGAACCACCAGCCTTCTGGTTAGCAGTCAAATGCCTTAGGCACTACGCCACCAGAGCTCCTAGGTAAGAAATTATGAAGGCTGGAACTAAGATGGTGGTAGTGGGAATGAAGAGTAAGAATGGATAATAGAGACAAGAAAGTAGGCATAGTAAGATTTTGTGAGTAACATGAAGACTGAGCAGGAAAGGAGAGGAGAGACTAAGATGATTCCCAGATTTCTGGCTTTTCTAGCATGAAAATGATGCATTATTAAGTACTTATTGAATGCCTACTGTGAAAATGACAGTGGGAATAGGAAAGAGAAATTAATTAGAATTTAAAGGAATATAGGAGACAGATAATATGAAGTGCCTAGTATAGTGCCTAGGAACAATAAATGTTAAGTTTTTTTTAAAAAAAAATTAGAATTGCTAGAACTTGGAAGTTAACTGCATTGGAGAGATGAAGGTGAGGAAAACACTGAGGATAATAACCAATGTTTGGAATAAGCAATGGGAAGATGTGGTATTATTTTGTTGAGGGCAGCTCAGGAAGGTACACATAAGACTGACCTCAGTTTGTAATATGTTACATTTGAGGTCCCTGTGGACCTCTTGGTGGTGTTACATTGTTGTTAGGTGCCGTCAAGTTATCTCCTATTCATAGCGACCCTATGCACAGCAGAACGAAACACCGCCCAGTCCTGAGCCAGCTCCATGATTCTTGCTATACTTGAGCCCACTGCCACTGCCACCGTGTCAATCCATCTTGTTGAGGGTCTTCCCCTCTTTCGTAGACACTCCACCTTACCAAGCAGGACATCCTTCTCTAGGGAATGATCCCTTCTGACAACATAACCAAAGTATGTGAGACAAAGTCTGGTCATTCTCACCCCCAAGGAGCATTCTGGCTGCACTTTCTCCAGGACAGAACTGTTAGTTCTTTTAGCAGTCCACGGTACTTTTAGCATTCTTCACCAACACCACAGCTCAAAAGCATCAATTCTTTTTCAGTCTTCTTATTCATTATCCAGCTCTCACATGCATATGAGGTGACTAAAAATATCATGGCTTGTGTCAGGTGCACCTTAGTCCTCAAAGAGACATCTTTGCTCTTCAGCACCTGAAAAAGGTCCTTTGCAGCCAATTTGCCCAGTCCTATACGTTGTCTGATGTCCTGACTGCTGCTTCCATTGGCATCGATTGTAGAACCAAGCAATGTGAAGT